TTATATTTTAGCTCTAGCTTCCACATCTGAGAGAAAATATTTGCTGTTTTGTCTCTGGGAGCTTGGCTTACCTTATTTAGCATGATTTGTTCTAGGTTTATCCATTTGTTTCTTTAATGTTATTCTTCTTTTGAATATTTTTAGATTTTTGACTTGAAAGCAAAATATATAAGCTACCCTTATTTTTTGTTTTATTTGTAACAGTTTAAAACATAAACCACTGGGTGCTGGTGGCTCACACCTGTAATCCTCCTAGCTTCTCAGGAGGGTGAGATCTCATGATTGGGGTTTGAAGTCAACCTAGGCAGGAAGGTCTGTGAGACTCTTATCTTCATCAAAAAGCCAGATGTGGAGCTGTAGCTCAAATTGTAGACTATCATCCTTGAGAGTAAAAGCTCAGGGACAGTGCCCAGGCCCTGAGTTCAAGCCCCAGAATGGGCTTTAAAAAATGTATAAACTATTTCTAGTTTGTAGGCTGTAAAACTGGGGACAGGCTGATTTTGACTTGTAGGGTGTATATAGTTTCTTGGAGTAAATTTATATGAAAGTAAAATAGCAAACAAGACTACAGTCCACCAGAGAGAGAATTTCCTATCAATGAGGAATATCAGAAATGTACTGCTGGAAGTATAATGCACTTATTAATTTGATTAAAATACCTTTTATAGAAATATACTATCTAGGATGGTCATCTTGGCTACTTGGGTTATAAGACAAAGTTCCCTACTCTTTCTACTGGAAGACTAGTATGTAGAAGAATTACTTTGTTGAGGAATTGGTGACAATTGGGGCAGAACAGTTTTCTCTCTTGTCTCTTAAGGACATAAGTACAGAAAAGGTATGATACTTCATGTTTCCTTTAGGCAAGCATATATTATATACACATACACTCTCACATGAATACACATGTGCACATATATACATAGGCATGTACATACATATTATGTACATATGTATCTATACAAGGATGTCCTATAAAGCCTTGTTTAAAGTAAATCCTGTGATTGTCATTTTAATTATAAACAATTTTATTTTTTTAAATATGCTTACATAGCCTCCCTCCCCTGTATGAAACAGTCTTCCTGTTTTTCTCTTAGTAGTTTGTTTCATAGGTTTGTTACTTGAGCTTAATATAAACTCAGCAAACTTTTGGTGCAGGCACGTGACACCTCTAGAATTATGGGAAAGCTAAACATAGAACTGTTCTTAGATCTTTATGTCATTTCAGCATGTTAAGAGGGCTTTTTATAGGAAACATGATTACAAGCAGTTATTACTCAAAACTTTGGAAATAGAGAATGTTATGCTTTGGTTTGAACTTTATAAGTAGAGTACTAACAAAATAATAATATAGTAACAATAATAGCATGAATTTTCTTTAGCAATTGTAACCATATCAAATATCAGTATAGCATTTAGTTCTATATCTCATAATTTCAGATGCAGATTATTAAGGACATTTAAAAAAGTGATTCATTTCAGCAGAACAAAAAATTTGAATTGGAATATAGCTTTTTTCATCATCTCCCTTAAAGCATAGAGTGATTATGTCTTACCATCTTATTAATCTGAAGTCTATTTTCTTTACATAGTTTAAACATATGGAGAGTGTAGGTGTTCTCAAAGTCCCTGAATTAGTTACTACTTGGATGTAAAGAAAACACTACTGTGGGATTTTCAGGCTTTTCATTATTAGCATGTATTGCAATAGATTTATTTCTAATTATGACAAAACTGTTAACTTCATTACAAGCTTAGAAAAAAATGTATCTTATGGAACACGACGTAGTATAACTTCTTGGCTAATAATGTGACTTGACCACACTGCTCTATGTACCTAATGTATTTAAGCTAGTTTGATTTAAAGAAATATAAATTGTACAGTGATGGCTCACAACTCTTGTCCTGGTTTCTCCAGAGGGTAGTTTTCAAGAGACTATCCAATTATCCAGGAAAAAGTGGGATTGGAGGTGTGGCTCAAGTGGGAGAATGCCAGCCAAGAGTCTCATGGAATTTTCTGCCACAAATTGACTTCTAATTACGATCATCTTCAGCTTTCTAAGTAGCTAGGATAGTGGCATGAGCCACTTTGTATGTGGCATGATTGGTTTTTAATTGCCATAAAAATAATGCATCAGATTTTTTGCATTCTGTTTTTGTATGCTTTGCCCTAAAAAGTTTTGGTATCCTGGAAAGACTGGTAATACTGGTAATTCCTTCCAGAAATTAGAAATTAGAACTCCTTGAAGTTTGAAGCCTCTAATTTCATCACTTTTCCTTATACCCTTATGAAGTTTATAACTTTAAGAACTTTCTCCTAAATTTAGTACTTATGTTCTTCAAATTTACATGTATTTTGAGTATTTTGGTTTAGTTATATACAGAAAATAGAAAAACTGGAATCATTGTTGGGTAGCATATAGCCTGGGCATGTTTCCAAACAATGCTATTCTATATGGTGTTCTGTGTGGCTTGAAACAGTAACAGTCTATATTACCCTTAAATGTTTTTACTAAAAGCACTAAAAAGTACTAAAATACCACAGTAAACATGAACATTTGTATGTGTCAGCCATAGATTTTTTTTTCCCCTTAGAGACAAACCAAATCTAGTGGGGGAAACCATTTTATTTCTGGTTACTTTCCAAAAAATCTAAATGTTGGAGTCATCTTTGTTTGGTTTTGATATATGAAGAACACAGTTTTCTGAATTTTGTAATGTTTTAAACTGAGATGATGTTATTATTCTTATACTTAAAAAGCAACCTTAATTTCTGAAATAGTAAGAAAACAAACTTAATTGAAGTAGTATCATTGATTGAATGTGGGTAGTATCTTGGAAGTAGCAATGTTAGATATCTATAATTGTATTTCTAGATCCCAGGTGAAGTGAGAAATAATGATGTTAAATGTAAGAAAATATATACTTGTCTAATATTGGTCAAGAAACCACTGCATTTAATTTTGAAGTAAGGATTTATTTTTACTTAAAAAATCTTTAAGTACTTGCAAAAAGGGTTTCAATTCAAGATCAGTATGAGTATAGTCCATCTTGTTCAAGGACACCTCTTTCATCATCCCCCACCCCCTATCCCAATAGTATGTATGTATATATTTGCTTTTTTGGTGCCAGTACTGTGGCTTGAACTCAGGTATTGTCCCGTAACTTTTCTTGTTTAAGGCTGGCACTCTACTACTTGAGCCACAGCTCTGATAATAAAATTTTGGTATAAACCACTAAATCTTTTAAATATTAATTTCAAAAGAGTCATTTCTGATATCTACTAATGCACAGATTTTTAAAAAAAAGCATTGATACCTTTGAAATGTGGATAACTACAAAGACTTATTTTTCAGTTCATTCACAGAATAACGATAATAAAAACATTTATTTGACTTTCTACTTGAATCTATAAAAAGAAAGATATGTATATGACTTTTGTACTGTATATTTAAAATTTAAGCCAGATGTGGATCATTTCTTAGCAACCAACAAGATTAAAATACTAAATCACAATACTATAAAACATATTCAGAATTAATCTTAACAAATCTGATCCATACTAGGTATCAGTTATTCTAAATTTGAAACCTTTTCTATATACTTGTAGTATTTGAAAGATTGAAGAATTTGCTTTATTGAGATATTTACAATGTAATAAAGAAAATTTATTAGAGTTTTCCAACTAACTTTACTTTTGAATTCTCATGGCAGTCATTTCCAACTTCTCTTTACGTATCCTTGAGTTAATAATCATTGCTCACTAGTATTGGCATTGTTATATGGGAGGGGTTATTGTTTATGTTGTCTTACTGTGCTGCCTAGAGATCTATTCTGATTATGAGCCTTTGGGCACTACAATATGTATAGAAACTTTGGTTCAATTGAATATTCTGGGCAAATGAATAAAGATGAAATCTCTTTTCTTCTTATTCTCTCTGTGGGTCACTTTTTACAGGATTTTATTTATGTCAGTTTTATTGGTTAAAATTGTATTCGATATAAAGCATCATAATTGGTATTTATACCAATTACATTGTGTATAATCTACCTCATACTCAGGCATATGGACTTTTTTTTCAGCGACCATGACAGTCTGCCTACTGTTTATTCTCACATTATTTAATACTGCATTACTAATCAATGCAGTGTAATAATTATTCTATGTTACATGAGGTATTGCAAGTAATATAGGGATGATTTAAAATGTACAGGAGAACACACATAGGCATTTTGTATAGATGACTTGAATATCATAGATCTTGATATTCATGTGGGGTCTTTATATCAAACCACTTTGGATACCAGCGGACATTGCATTTACAGTGATGTAAACATCCCATTTTCTACTTTTAAAACATTTCATCCCTCTCCATAAGCACAGTACATATCTATTATTAGCAATTTCAAATTATGCTACTGCCCAGGCCTGCCAGCAACTGAGCTCTTTTTGTTTCTGTTCTTATCATTTTGCCTTTATGGAAAATAGGGTATATTTTTCTTTTTCCTTCCTTTCTTATTTTTATTTTTTACCCTAATGATTTGCTTTACTTAGCATGTTTTCAGAGTTTATCCACTTAGTTGTTTATTAGTTTTTATGGGTTGGTAATTTTCTATTATGTGAATGCATTTTTTTGTTTGTTTAAATACATCTGTTCATAGATACTTGTAGTATTTTACCTTTTAGGTAGTATAGATTATTCTGATAGGAAAATTTGAATGCAAGTTTTTTATGTAGGCATACTTTTTCTACTCTTTGGTTTGTATTAGAGAATGGAATTAATGGATCATATGATAACTATACTTTTACTCTTTTTAGGAAATGCCATGTGATTTTACAAAATGGTTGCCCCATTTTACTTTTCTACTAGCAGTTTGTAGGAGTATGAACTAATTTTTGACAACACTTACTGTTTGTTACCTTTCTTATAATTATCCTACTTGCAAAATGCAATCAAGCTTATTTTATGAGGAATTAAAAAATGAATCTTGTATTTTAGGTGCTGTACTTCTTTGTAGTATTCAAGGACTAGCAGTTAATCTTGACCCAATATTACATACATGGCTTATCTACCAGCCTCAGAAACGAACAAGTAGACACATGCAACAGGTGAGAGATTTCTGTGTTCTTTCCTTAATGAGTAAATCCTTTTCTCAACTATTCAGAAGAGATACATATACTTACAAACACTATTTTATTCTCTTTCAGTAACATAAAAGAATGTATCTCCTCTCTACTCCATTCAAAGAATTCTGTTTCTTGAGTTTTATTTATAGATAGTTGCAGCCTAACATAAACTTTTCTTGGATAATTAACATCCCTCCCTCCTTTTTTTTTTTTCCCCCTGCTCTTGAACTCTGGGTCTGGGAGCTGTTCCAGAGCTTACCAACTTAAGGCTAGCGCTTTGCCACTTTGAACCAGAATTTTATTTTATTTGTAAAGGTGATGTGTATACAGAGGGGTTACAGTTACATAAGTAAGGTAATGAGTACATTTCTTGTTGAACATGTTACCCACTCCGTTTTCCTCCCATTATTCCCTGCCCCCTCTCTCTTTCTCTCTCTTTTTCTCTTTTTTTCTCTCTCTCTCTTTCTCTCTCTCTCTCTCTCTCTCACACACACACAGAAATTGTAAAGTTCACTTCCACTTCTGGTTTTCAAGTGGTTAATTGGAGTTAAGAGTCTCACAGACCATACTGCCTAAGTTAGCTTTGAACCATGGTCCTCAGATCTCAGCCTCCTTAGTAGCTGAGATTAAAGATATGAGCCACCAGAACCTGGTGAGTTCATGAATCTCCTGCTCAGCCTCCTTACTGCTACCATGGATGATAAAAGGAACTTTGTATGTAATTGCTTATAAAGCAAAGAGATCAATTGAACTAACTTAGATAATCTTAATAAACTATTCATTAGATTGTACATTTCAGTTACTTTTTAAAATAATACAAATTTTATAGAATTATAAAAATCATGTTTTTTTCCTTCTTTCCAATTATATTAATTTTTTTCACATACAAATCTATTTTGATAGTATACTGGGAAACCACAACCATGTAAATGACAAAGAAGAGTTCAATGTCGCAATTTTGCCATATACTAGTTGCATTACTGAGGTATATAAATTTTAGTAAGTAATACTTTATCATCTTGAAAGTGGCAGCAATAAAATGAACTGTCAGAGTTACATTTCAGTATCCTGATGCAGGCAATTTCATTGTCATATCTTACAAACTATAATTATCTAGTTTGTACTAGCAAATGTGAGGCCTTGAGTACAAACTACAGTACCACAGAAAAAGTAAATACATAAATACATACATACACTTACACACATACATATGTACATACATACCTACAAAATTAAGATAATTTAGAAACCATGAGAGAGGAATCTCTCATTCAGAGTTGCAAATGAAATTGGAATAATTTTACAAAAAGCTAAATCTTTACATTCCTCTTTATTCACTGAGAATATATTTTTAAAGTGTAATTAGGAGCTGTAGACATGTATTTTTGTACTTTTAAAGCACATTTTGAGATAGTTATATTGGCAGATTGCTTTCCAATTGATGTACAATTTACATTTTCACTGGCAGTTCATAAAATTACTTTTTTTTTTTTCTTCAATGTTGGGGCTTGAACTCTGGGCCTGGGCACTGTCCCTCATCTCTTCACCTCAGGGCTAGCACTCTATCACTTGTCAGAGTGCCACTTCCTGTTTTCTGGTGGTTTATTGGAGATAGGAGTTTCATGAACTTTCATGCCCACGCTGGCTTTGAACTGTGATCCTCACATCTCAGCCTCCTGAGTAGCTATGATTACAGACATGAGCCACTGACACCTGGCAAAATTACCCTTTTTTTAAACCATAATTGAGAAATGTGCAAAAGAATACTTCTAAGTTGTCTTTTGTGTACTATTTTAATTTTTTTTCATGGAAAATGAGAATATAGTATAGTTGAACCACATGAATTGTTCACCTATTTTTAGTATAACTCATTGACCATCATTTTAAAATTGCTTGGTGAAAAAATGCTAATGTACAATATTGTTAAAATGTTGATAGTGGTTTCATATATTGTGAGTGGAAAAGATAAGGTTGAAATATCAAGTAAAATTGAAATGTACAAAGTATAGTTCCTAAATTTTGCCTCATAATGTAGATATGTTATTATATAAGCATATGGAATCATATTATATTATTATAGTATTATAAAATTGAAACAACCTAAGTGCCCATGAGGAAGTAAAGCATTATTGAAATCTATGTGATAGATCTTAATATGCTATTTGAAGGTTTTATGAAATGAAAAAGGTGATTCCCAAGGTTATATGCAATATGAGAGCAGTTAAATGTATTTTTCAAAATGACCAATGCTAAATATGTGTGTGTTCATATATGTGTGGAGAGCAGGGATGGTAGGGGGAAAAACAAAGGAGGAGGCAACAATGCTTGATAAGAAATGTACTTATTACCTTGTTCATGTAATTGTAACCCGTCTGTATGGTATTTTCACAGTAAAAATACTTACTTAAAAAAAAAAACACACTGAATTTGATGTTCTACACATATCCCAGTAGTGATTGAATCAGAGCATGGGACAAATAATAAGTAGGTTGTCAGTCAAAAGGGATACTAATTTTGTAATTAATTTATCTCTTTTTTTAAACAACTGCAACAGAATGTTAATATCCATTAACATGTCCACTATCATGGGAATATGACTATTTTATTCTTTATAATTCTCTGTATTTGTAGTTTATTAATCAAAAAAGAGCATCTTTTATAGGAAAAGAGATTATGGAACAGTGAGAGGTAAGTGGAACCATGAGAGGTTACTTAGTTATTGCTGATCTAATTCTTTCTCCTGTATCAATATGTATCTGACATGAATATGAAAAGACATTAAACAGCTATTATTGAGGTATTAAATGCAATAAAACATGTAGAATACTAACTCTCATGTCCTTGATAAGGTCCTCAATGGATCTTTTGAACATGTTACATATCTGTAAATGTACTTAGTTTCAGCCAACCAAAGATTTTTGTTTTGTTTGTTGTTGAGTATTACAACTACCATGTCTTTCACTAATTTTTTGACAGTTTAGACAACAATGATTATTGTCATTATTTGTGCCGGGATTTGAATTCTAGGCCTTACATTCTTTGTGTGGCCTTTTTTTGCTCTAGGCTGGTGCTCTACCACTTGAGCCATGGTCTCCAGTCTGGCATTTTGATGGCTAATTGGATATGCACTCTCAATCTGTTTGTTGTTGTTTTTAATTGGTGATGGGGTCCAATGGATTTCTGTGTCTGGGCTGGCTTTGAATAGCGATTCTCCAAGTCTCAGCAGTAGCTAGGATTATAGGTGTAAGCCACCAACGCCTGGCGACAAAATTTATTATTAATTTCCATTCGCATCTGCTAATAATGACATATATGCTTTTTTTTTTTTTTTGGTCTGGTGGTGGGGCCTGAACTCTGGGCCTGGGCTCTGTCCCTCAGCTCTTCAGCTCAAGGCTAGTGCTCTACCACTTGAGCCACAGCACCACTTCCGGTTTTTTTCTTTTTGCTTATGTGGTGCTGAGGAATCGAACTCAGGGCCTCAGGCATGTTTTTCCTCTCAAGGCTAGTGCTCTACCACTTTGAACCACAGGTCCACTTCTGTTTTTTTGGTGGCTAATTGGAGATAAGAATCACATGGACTCTCTTTTGAAGTAATTAGAATTCAATAATCTTATCTTTCAGTTATTATACTTGAATTCAGTATCTCACTGAGCAACACATACTTTTTTTTGCGGGGGGGGGGGGGGGCCGGCGTGGGGCCTGAACTCTGGGCCTGGACGATGTCCCTCAGCTCTTCAGCTGAAGGCTAGCGCTCTACCACTTGAGCCACAGTATCACTTCCAGCTTTTTTTCTTTTTTGCTTATGTGGTGCTGCGGAATCGAACCCAGGGCCTCATGCCTGCAAGGCAAGCACTCTACCACTGAGCCACCTTCCCAGCCCAACACATACATTTTTTCTTCTTACTTAATATACTAGTTTTAATCCTAAAGTGTTTGCTTGTATTCCAGGTATATAAATGGTAGATAAAAATTTAAGTGACTATGAAGACACTAACTATTGAAGCATGAAACAGGTTTCCAATAAACATTTCAACCCTCCCCCCCCATTTTATATAGATGGGATAATTTAAATGAGCAAAACTTACGATTTAAAAAATATATTTGATTGTTATTGTAAAGGTGATGTACAGAGGGCTTATAGTTAAGTGAGTCAGATGAAGAGTACATTTCTTGTAACCTCTTCCCTCACTCTCTCCAGTTTTTCCCTCCTATTCCTCACCACAAGTTGTATAGTTCATTTTCCACATAGTGTCTTGAGAGTACCAGTGTTGTATTTGTTCTCCCTTTGTCACACCTTTTCTGTGCTCTCCTCTCTTACCCTCCCAAAGACAAATTAACAAACAAGCCAAAAGAAAAAGCCAGCAGCAACAACTAAAATCTCTTTCCATTAAAACTTACGATGATTTCTGTTTCTCTTCTATGTCTTGTAGGTCTGCCTGGGAGAACAGACCTCTTCCCCTTATCCCCTCTACTTCTGTATTTCTACCAGGGACTTATGTTGGGGGCTCAGGAAGGGGGCTGTTCTCCCAGGTAAACATAAGGGGGTCTTAAAAACTGTTGTTTTTATTTCTTATACATATGACCAGTTTGACTTAATATTCACTATTAAGGCAGGTATTTATATATAACTATATTTAAAATAGGTTCTATATTTAGATGAACAATATATACTATACATAACTATATTATAAATATAATAATGTATAATATAAAACAATATATGAAAAATATATTGTTAAATATAGTTAATATTAAATATATTGTTATATTTAAATATATAAATAAAATTTTCGTTTTCTCATTTTCAGATTTCTTCTCTTGTTCAGCCCAGCTTTTACCTTACAAGTTAATTCTCTCATTGTCATTGTACATTTTCTGTACAACATTGGATGGTGTGGTATTGAGGGTAACACTGATTAACCTGCAGCATGGCTAGCTCCTATCAGATCCACTTTCTGACATAGCTGTACTACAGCTATCACATATTGCTTCCCAAGCTGCACGTTCATTCTCAGCTATGGCTCAAACCCAACATTTGAGGGTTCTTTTCCTTACAGTTCAACATTGAACTTTGATCCTAATCAAAAATACTTTTTTTTGCCAAAAATTTGACAGTATTATATTGGGTGTCATCAATCGTAACATCAGACTTTATTTCAGTGAATAAAGATGAAACAGCTGCTTTATTGTTCATCTTAGCATTCATACATTCAATATAAAATTGTAATGTTTTCCAGCTTTCTCTAACTAGAGTTACTTTTCTATGCTTTCAAATATTTTATGATTTTTATTTTATCACATAAAATATATAGAAATTTCAGCACTTCTTCAAAAAGTTACACCCTTATTAATATATAAATTAGTTTTATATTGATAAATTTCTGTTTTCTAGGTGTTGAAGAGAGAATTTCATTTTTTATTTGCCCTGTTCATATTATCTTTATGCTCCTTTACAATTTATATTAACTGGGTGCTTTTCAGATCTCTAGGTTTTCATAAAAAATTGGTAATCATGATCTGAAAATAAGAAATAGGTAATTTCAGAAATAAAAATTTTATACATTTTAGATAACCTTTATTGCAGTATAATTGTTCTCTTATTATTATTCATCTTAGGCTTGATTCATAAATTAAACTTTATTTAGATACCTGTAAGTAGGAATATACAGAATATAGTTGTTATTTAGTAACTATGAGTGATTGATTCCAGGAACCCCTCTGAGAAACCAACATAAAATGGCATAGTGCTTTCATATAACCTGTGTACATTATTCTCATATAGTTTAAATCATCCCCAGTTTACTTGTAATACCTAGTACAATGTGAAAGGTATTTAAATAATTGCTATATATTAAGAGAAAGACCAATACAATAAAGTTTTTTCCCCTGAATATATTTGGATCACAGTTGGCTGAATCCATAGATACAGGATCCATGAATATATAGGACTAACACTGTATGATACTTTGTATAATCCATTGTCAGACATCCACTGAGAGAGTCTTGCCACTTGTCCCCTGGGATATGTATATGGGGCAGGAAGAATACTATTTGTGAGGGAAAGATGGATGGAGGAATGGAGAATGATTTAAAATAATAGGTTTATCATTAACTTGAAAAATACTGTTTTTGGTATTGTCATGTTTAACCTTTATACTGCAGAAAGGCAGTAATTTGCTTTTCCATTTTGGCTCTTTCAGCAGTCTGTGGTAACTGTCCCACTTGTTATGCCAGTTAACAGAAGGAAAGAGGATGAATTATCTGTTGGTAGTGCACCTTTAGCAAAGCAACAGTCATATCAGGCCTCTGAATATGCCAGCAGCCCTGTGAAAACAAAAACATTAACAGGTAGGTGTCAAGAACTGTAACTGGTCTGTGGGTGTTAGTATACTTGTAAACCAATGAGCTTGTCTGCCAGTTTCATTGATGTTTTATGAAGGAATGAGACTCCTGTATTTATACCAAGGACTTTATTATGTTCCACATTAGTAGTAATAACCCAAGTATTAACATTTTTGGTTTCAGTGCCCTTAGGGTGGTATGAAGCAGAACAGATGATATTTATATAGTGAATATGTTCTAGGAAAGACATCGTTTGTGTACAGGGCATTTGAACCTTCTGTAATAGAAAGCATGTCTGCCCTTTGCTCTAGAGCAAGGCCCTATGGCTCCTTTTTAAGCAAAGCTCTAGGCAAACTTGCTGTTTGCTCTTAACACAAATGACATTTCTATCTTCTGGGGTACTTGCTGTACAAATACCTTGAAAATACAGTTGGAAACAAAAGCAGTCACTGCCTCTAATTTCAAGGTGAACAGAAGCACACAAGACTCATGGAGAATTGTATTTTTCTTCTCTATTGTTGTGTTCTTCTGTTTTTCCTCTCTCACATTCTTACCAAGGTCATTGATATAAAGTACAAGCATTCTTTCAAAAATGATTTACTTCCATTTGTGTTAAAAAAAAGTACTGTATCGTTTCATGTAAATCATGTTTTTTTCTTTAACCTCATTTTATTAGGAACCACTTTTTCTTTAGAGTATTTTTTTATATTCTCTTACATGTACTTTTTCTTATAAACCAGATATACCCTACAATATTGATGAAGATTTTGTATTTTCAGTTCATGAATAGTATTTTTAAGTGTTTTTATGAGCATGACTGTTGTAAGTTAAATTGAGGTAAAAAAATAAGGCATTATCCCTGCCCTGGGACTTTTAGTGAGTAGATATGAACATGTGACAGCTACTGACTAATAATACACTTAATTATTTAAAAATACTTAAGCTATCCAAATGTATATTTTTAAATTATGTTTTTATTATTAAGATTAAGTAGTCATCCAAATATATTCTTTTGGATTTATGTATATTAGTTGAGAAAGGTCTTACTAAATGTTTTTGCACTGGTTGGCTACTATCTTACCAATCTCTATTTCCCAAGTAGCCAGATTGCTGGCATAAGCTACCACACCCAGGCACTTGATGTAATTTTTTCTGTTTATTTATTCCTATTACTATTTTTGAGCAAACATCTGAATTGTATCATTTCTTAGTTTCTTCATTTAATACATGGATCACTATGTTAAATTATAAAGCATGAAAGACAATTTTATCATTTAAGTGTGCTCTGGTAGAATTTGAATAAAGTATTAATAGTATTTCAGCCTGAGGAATATTATACCTTTTATACACTGATATTATTTCAGTAAAAAATGTATTTATTTTTTTAAAAATTGTTTCATTCAGTTTATTTCAGTAGTTGTTTTTAATGGCTGCCATTAAGTTAAAATCCACCTCACTGATATACATAGATCCAAGAGGAAAAAAAATGCACAAATTGACTTCACTCTCAGTCTTACCCATTTTGAAAAGTTTTAGTAACATTAGGCTACTAAATTTTCATCTTCCAAATATAAGAGATTTATTTCTATTCAGTGGAAAGTGGTTTCTTGTTTTGTTTAAATAGTTTTATCTTATACTCTTATGTTTGGCTATATGCCTTTTGTAGAAATTCTTTAAATGTGAAGATCTAATCAAATCATGAGAATTAATGTAGTTAAAAATAAGATAATAAGCTTTGTATGTCTACTTCACCTTGTGTATAGAAAACTTAGTATGCCACAAAATTATTAGAACAAATGTATGATTAAAGGCCTTAACAATTACTATTCCTTGTCAAATATTCACCCTTTCTTTAGTATACTTAGGGCAGTTTTATCTGTGGCCTTCTGATAGGATGTATCACTAAACTGTATGTTTTTAAATACTAGTTAGATTAAAGTAAATATGAGTAGATAGTCTCACATTCCCACCCCCAAACCCTTATGATATGTCTTGTAGTTTTGTGTACTATACTTTTAGAGAACATTGTTATTTTACTGTTATAACCTAGAAGTTTTGGCTACCTAGGAAAAAACTTCTCCTATAGGACCACATACGAGGATCCTGTGAACAGATTTAGTATGCAGTGTTTACTAGCTTGTCTGAAGAGATAGGACACACTCATGTGCCAGCGTTACATGAAGTGGATTTATTGCTTACAGATGGACAGCAAGTGACAACAACTGAGGATTCATTGTGAGCCAGGCCCTTGGGGCTCTGGAACGCTGGTTTCTCATTTTATTATTATTTGTGCCTCACTTGAGCTACTGCTGAGAGACCCTGAAATGCAGCATTCTCTGGGTTTTATATCCTGAACCCATGGGACTTCGAGGCCAAGTGTTGAAGTGTACTAAGACAGATGAGAACAGAGAGTGAGCTGTTCTGGCTAGGCCTTCCCTATGTCAAGATGTTGCATACCCTGTACCTTCTACCTTATTAGTGTGAACTACAAAGCAATGAGGAGAATACATGGTTGGTCCAAGGCCATCCAGAAAACTTTTGTAGGTCTCAAGGAGCCAAGTTAAACTGAGAAAGTCAGAAACTGTTGTTGAGTGAAGAAAATATCAGATGAGTAATAAAAAGTCAGTAGCAAATTGAGGGAAAAGGATGTTTTTGAAGTTTTTAATAGGTTTAATTATTGAATCTTTTTGTGTATAGATATAAAGTACTTAGGTAATATTCACCTCTCCTTACCCTCTCTTTTTCTTCTGTGTGCAAAGAATGTTTTCATTGATAATCCTTGGATCAGGTACCCACATCGTGAACAGTGACTCTGACCAAAGCGATCAGTTTTTTCTTTTCCAGTTTCTATCTTACATTAGGTTGTGATGTTCTCGTATGTTATAGTACCAGAAAATGAAAAAAGACAGCAGAAACATGGCCTATAAGGGTATCTGAGAGTTAGGCATTCTAATTTCTGTGAGTTAGGCATTCCCATTTGTATACTAACTTTTTATTTTACAAAGACACAAAATGTAGCTGAGGTATAACATTTGGACTGAATTACTTTCACATATTTATGTTTTAATGAAAAAGATATAAAATGACTCTGATGGTAGACACATGAACTAGATATTGGTGAAGGAAGAATCTAGGAGAGACGTGAGATGTTTGAATACAAGTTTTTCTCCCCTCACTGGGGATTGAACCTAGTACTGTGCAAATGTTAGACTTGTATTTCACCACTGAGTATCATCCTCAGCTTGCTTGCTTGCTTACTTGCTTTTTTCCTTTCCTCCCTTCCCCTTCCCTCCCTCCACTTCCTATTTTCTTTTCTTATCTGGCAGTTTGACCAAGTAGTTTAGGCTGACCTTGAACTTTCTATATAGCTGAAGGCTGGCCTCATGATCCACCCACTTCCACCTCTCTATGCCACCATTTTTGAGTAATTCAGTTCCATTTAGCACAATTTATTTTCCAGTTTTATGTGGTTCATTAAAAAGAAAAAGTTCCCTGAAATTCATTCATTTGAACTATACTATCAGTTAATTGTGAAATTCTTAAGAACACACTGTGAATTTACTAAGTGCATTTATTAATGTTTTGAAGAAAAATGCCTAGTTCTAGTTTTTATATAAACTGGAAGAATTCAACAAAAACTCTGTGAAATAGTTTTTTATGCAGTGTCTTCACCCTCTTTTAGCCATCAGAACAAGATTATAGTTTCCAGATGAAATTCTGAATGTCATATAGTGATGACATATATTTTCCTGGTTGGCTCAGCATGAGATGCAATTTTGCATGCCATGTCACGCTGATTGCAGAATCCAAAAGCCATTATTTCCCAGAGGGTTTCAAGAGTGATAATATCAAATGTAGCTTGTATTTTGATGTAAAGTGTTAGGCAGCTTTGCAGTTCTATGACAAGTTGCTTAAGTTTTAAATTTTTAAAAATAATGTATCACTTTCTGTTACTTAATATCACAAAATGAAGTTACACAAAATACAGATCAAGCCTTGGTAGATGCAGTTTTTAAATTAGGATAAACAATACTTGGCTGAAGATTTTGTAATGATTAAATGTGATATTGCTTGTGAAATAATTTATATCTATTAAGTATCATTTTAAAGCTTATTTTACAAAAAGGAATTGGTACAGAATTATAGATGTCAGTAGACCAACGACCAAGAAAACTTAATTTTTACCCTATCCTCAGCTCACATTAAACTACCTTCATCGTTTTTCTTTTTTCTTTCTTTTTTCTTTTTGTTTTTTTTTGCTGATCCTGGGGTTTATACTCTGAACCTGGGCTCTTCTTGTCTTTGAGCTTCTTTTGTTCAAGGTTAGCACTCTACCACTTGAGCCACAGTGCCATTCTGATTTTTTTCTGAGTAGTTTATTGGAGGTAAGAGTCTCATGGACTTTCCTGTCCTGCTTGGCTTCGAACTGCAATCCCTAGATCTCAGCTTCCTGAGTAGTTAGGATTACAGTACCCGACAACCCTTTTCTTTATTTTTGATAATATTAAATATACCCAACATTTTTTTGCTTAGCTGTCATTAGACATTCCCAAAAGAACACATGAAATTTCTTTAAAATAATAAAACACAACTCAAAGATCACATTTTGTGATGTCTTGAATATTAAAGGGCAAGTTAAATAGTATTACTGCAATGAATGAAATATTTTTCTCATTCTTTTTATTTAGGAGAGTAACAATCTCATTCATTTTTTTCTTTTGGTCTGTTGTGGGCTTGAGCTTTGGGCCTGGGCACTGTCCCTCAGTTCTTTAGCTCAAGGCTAGTGCTCTACCACTTTTAGCCATCGCGCCACTTCTGTTTTTCTGGTGGTTTATTGGAGATAAGAGTGTCACGGAGTTTCCTGCCTGGGCTGGCTTTTAACTTCAATCCTTAGATCTCAGCCTCCTGAGTAGCTAGGATTTCAGGCATGAACCACCAACACCTGGCAACAATCATATTCTTTAATCCCCTTTTACCCCTGTCCTTTAATTAAATTAATACACTGTAACTTTTTATATCTGTGTTCAGTTTCCCAGTGGTATTTATTGAACACTCAGAAGTTAACTCTGGTATGATTTCAGTTGGTGCCTCTAATCTGCTAGGATGTTCTTGCTTCAGCAGAAAAAGGTAGCTATGTTTTAATATACTGAATCGTCAAAGTGCAATCCAAAGTACTAAGGTAAAATTTTACCTTAATCAGGCAATCAGTAAATATAATCTTGAGTTTTGAACTGTGGGCTATGTATAAGCTCTTTGGGAAATTAAGAGAAGTACATATTATAGCTTTGTGACAGAATTCAGGCTATAACTGGAGAGAGAAAAACCATGTGTACTGTAGGCTTTGTAGAACTGAGGAAAAAGTCTTCCTGAAAGAAGACTTTAGGAACAGAAAGTTTTCATTGAGGTATGACTTGACTTAGGCCTTAATAAGGTTTGAAATGATCAAGGAAGGGCAATTCACTTGGATAAGAACAGTAAGAGGAAAGAATTGATGGGTGTAGAGATTCTTTAGTGGAAGTTATGAAAACAAAGTTAAATAAGTTCAAAGAAGCAAGACATACTTATTCAGAGTTTTAATTTTTGATCTTAGGTCAGTTTATTTTTGAATCATACTCTGTAACTGTACACTTCAGAGAAGAACTTAAAAAGAAAGACCTGTTGTAGAGTTGTGAATAAATTAACTTCGTAAATTTGTCTAGTTCTGCTTTCTCTTTATAGGATTTACCTACTTCCTTTGCCATTTTTGCCCAGAATATATGCTTTTCAGTTTAGTTTTTGCATCTCAATCACAAATATTCTGAAAAACCTTTGAAGAAGCAACTCATTTTTAGTGCTATTTTTTTTATCCATAGTCTCTGGGATACTTCACTGTCTAATGGAAATCTGAACTTGTCATATCTGAAACTACTTCTTTTCTTCTTGAAGCTTCTTTTCCTTTGATTCCATTCTTTACATTGCTCCAACCTAAAACTTGGTCTGGAGTGACCCTTGATTCTTCTTTATCTTCTATAGTACTTTTAATTCATCAGTAAATCCCATTGGGTATATGGCTAAAATGGATATAGAATTTCATCACTTCTTGCCATTGTTATTGCTGCCCCAATTTTCCTGTTTCAACACTTGATCTGTATAGTCCATTTTGTTTTAGACAGCCAGAGAAATTATTTTAGATTATATGTCTTGTGTGTATTTAGAATTAATGATTATGTTCTAGTCAATGAAAAGCTATCTCATTGCCACAGCTTACGTAAGCTCTGTATAATCTGGCCATCTATGAAGCTTTGACTTCAGCTCTACATTTACACAGTTTGCTCAAGCAGTCATTGCTTCTGTACCTTACTTTAAAGTCCCAAGCATACTCCTAACTTTTGCTTCACCTGTCTTATATCTGTGTGATTGTCTTCTAAATTGGTTTTCTTTCACAAGCATTTATTTGAATCTCTTAAATACATTCTTATAGTCATTGTGAACATAAATATGAAAAAAGTCTGTGCTCCATACCCTTAAAAGAATTTTGTTTATTATTTATTTCTGGCAGTGTTGGGTTAAATTTAGGACCTCCCTCTTACCTGCTGGTTAGATGCTTTTCAACTTGACCCACCACTCAACCCTTTTTGTGATTGTTATTTTTATGTATTTTTGGAAAAGGTCTCATGTTTTTACCTGGGACAAGCTTTGGATCAAGATTTTCCAGCAGAATCACAGACATGTGCCACCCTACATGGCCTTTTGGTTGAGATGCAGACTGCATAACTTTTTGCCTAGCCTGATCTTTAGCTACAATCTCTTCCTTCTGGTTAGCTAGGAGTATAGTTGTGAGGTACTAGACATGGCCCCTGCTTAATGTATTTTAAAACTAGTAAATATGAACAAAGTTGGAAGAAGAAGTGTGATTGGACATGGTGACTAGTTTTATGGTGATTACATGGTAGCACTTATTTTGGAGATCATCCTGAGCTAATTTAACCTTAATTTACTAAGATTTGATTGACTTATACTATTATAAAAGTATAAATAAATAAATCATACTAACATTAATATAAAATGTATAAATATAAATAGGTTTCTTAGACTAAAGCATATTCAATTTGTATATTCTTATAAATTAGTAGAATCTATATCTTTCCATGAGTACTTTGTAGAAATTTTTTTTACTGATTTAATTTTGTATTGAGAAATGAAAAAGTTACAGTTTAATGAAATTTTACAAAGGGAAATTAATAAATATACAAAACATTACCATTATTTTGTAAGTCTACCTCTCTGCCATCAATTTCTTGAGTAATTGCAAAAAATCAGTGGTTATTTAATAGAGAATGATCTAAGGTGACATGGTATAATCTTATGTAGATGTTATGATCTTAAGAAGGGAAAGAAACAATCTTGAAAATAGTTTCTGTATTTTCAGAAATTGTAAGTTATGCTTCTTGTAAATAATTTGGTGTTCTTCTACTTAGAATCCCGACCATTGTCAGTTCCTGTAAAAGCCATGTTGACTATATCTGAAGGCTGTAGAAGTCCTGAAGAAAGAATGAAAGAATTCATTGGAATGGTATGGAATGCAGTGAAGAGTCTCACACTACAGGTAAAATAAAAGTTAGAAATATTATACCTCTTATATTTAAATCTTTTGGCATTTTAATATTGGTAAAGTTTTTCTCTTAAGTAGTACTTATGTAAACTATTTCATTTCCACAATTTCGTTAAAAAGAACTGGTATGCTTTGCTTATAAAAAAAAAAGATGTTATAGTTGGTTGCTGATAGCTCATGCCTATAATCCTGGCTACCTGGGGGGCTGAGATCTGAGGATCACAGTTCAAAGCCAGACTAGGGAAAATCTGTGAGACTTATCTCCAATAAACTACCAGAAAGTTGAAAATGGAGCTGTGCTCCATATATTACCAGCCTTGAGCACAAAAGTTCAGGCGTCACTCCTAGGTCTTGAGTTCAAGTACCAGAACTGGCACTCCTCCAAAAAAAAAAA